GCATCTTCTGAGACAGATCTACATTGCTCTCTAGAAAGGTTTACATCCGAGTGCAACAAGGCATACATGTGAACGCATCTAAAACGAAAAGCCTAGTGTCTTCTCGTTTTCCTGCCCGTTGCTCCCTTAACATTAACTGAGACGCAGTAGAGCAAGTAGAGAAGTTCAAGGGTTGTGTTTAAGGCAAAAGTTGTACGGCAAACTGGAATTTCTACCAGTTTTCTGGATGAACTCACTCCTAAGCATTGTGAATAAGGCAGAACTGAGTAAGACAAAGCATGGATTGCAAATATTAGCGTATGAAATGGGCTTTTTTGATACGAAACGCTTGGTTCACCCATCTCAAAATAATCCAGAGTACAGAAAGTACAGATATCCTAGAGAGCCTTGGTGTACAATCGCTGTTTCTCTAAACTGAAAAGTGGCAACTGCGATGGTTTGGACAGATCTTGCGAATGCTTTAAAAAAAGCTACTGCTTGCCCAGTCGACTGACCCTGTGGACGGTGGCAAGGAATGACTTGAGGCAAGTGTATGAATAAGAACTTTGCTCTAGACTTGGGTTATATTCTGCTGAAACTCAGACTCTGGCGCAGGATCAGGAACATTGGAAGCATTGTCTAACGCGTCTGCCAATGCGACCCCAATGGATAGCCGGTCATTGAAAGTGGCTGACTGTCTGGTTAAATGGTTGACTTGTGACCGTCGACCCTGTTAGCGGGTGAGGAAACGTTTTGCGCTATGAAAGCATAGAATGAACCAAGTGATCCAAGTTCATGTTGACTTGTCTTGACGCCTATTCACTTTGAAGGACTGCTGTATTTTTTGTTGTGCAGAACTTCCTTGCTCAAAATAGGCTGTTCTCCTTATCATGATTAATACGCTAATATTTCAATTGCGGGTAGATTGTAAATGTAGTAATATCATATATCATCTATAATCTTTTCATTATTTCATCTGCTGGCTTTTTTCTCGTCAGTGATACAAATAAGGTAGAAGCTATCATTGTTTGTTTTGGAAACGCTGCATCATCGAACAAGCGTAAACTTTTTTTTTGCTCTTATCAGCTTCTTCGACTGCATATGGTATTTCATCAGGCTGTTGTCTTCAATGGCAAGCAGTGACACCGAGGAGTGCGCAGTTTCGCTATTGTAGAAGCGCTGCTTAACTGTCAATCCATGGTTTGTAAACAATTTTCTGCATACCGGTTTGTGATCAAACTATGTTTTAAAGCGGCTGCCAAATTACAACACCGTTGTGCTTCAGACCTTTATTATCATTTCCTTTTGTAAAACTGAACTGTTTTGTTTATACTTTCTTTCTCTCTTATCACTAAACGCTTTGAATGCTTATCATAGCAAAGCGGGCGGTGCCTATAACGACATTCTAATAATATTTATGCTGTGCTTATCATACGATATCTACTATGCATTATT